TCTTATCCGCTGTCTCAGCATCACACACCTACATCATCATCAGTCCATCACAGTGAAGATAACTCACACATGTTGGATCATTCAGTATCACATACAATGCATGGAGTTAGTTTGACGACATTGCACACCTTCAGCCATGACACATTACATGATTTCATGATGCAGCACTATACTCAGAGTCATCACGCACAGCCCACGCACACTGTCAGTCTGATGGTGATGGAGAGGAACTTGTATCCCCAAGCCCATCATACGTCTAAAATGCACTTGACTGATAGTTCACAGAGGACACACCACATCGTTAGTAGCACCAGTTCAATTCATGATCCCGTTTCAYATAGCATGGCAAGTCAACACCATGGTAAGTCAAGAACCTTTTCCCTTCAAGCAATAGATTACAATAAAGCAATACACATAGACAACCTAAGCTATTGTAGTGCAAATGCAATCGTGATTGTGCCTTAATAGCGTCGTAATACGAAGAGTCRATCTAAGAACTGGGTAGTGTCATGGTGTACAGGAATTGTTCTGGGGGATTCTATTCAAATTCAAATTCCAATATGAAAATTCATTCAGCTAGTAGTCTTTGTTCTACGATAGCATATATCATACTATAATAATTCAATGGCCGTCAATCAACAAACAGCAAGAAAAAATATCTTAAAAGAGATGTCTATCGCGCGCGCCCATTGGTCAGTTTGAATAAGATGGCACGTAAAGAGAATTTACTTAGGCTTTGTCAAGATTTGTGTGTTTATTTTTAGAAGTAGTACACTGGGGATCATGGCATAACCTGGGTCACTGTGAGCTGGTTTGTTGCGGYATAGGAGGTCTGGTGACTCAGATAAGGAGTTGCACTGTTATCACACTCGACGTATCCTCTTCGCACCCTTGTAGTCATTATGGGAGAACATCCAGGCAGGTCACGTGTGAGTTTGCTTGCCCGTCGTGTAGTTCGGGTAAGTTTATGATAAATTTTATTATGAAATAACTGTTATGAATTTCGCGTTCTGATTGGTTTGGACCTCGTCCTTTATGAGAGCACATTGCATATTGCGCGCGCACTTTCCRTTGCGTTATTCCTATTTAAAATAAAGGTTATTGTAATTCGTATTAAATAAAAGAAATAAAAAACTTGCTTGCTGTGCTGTGTACCGTTATAAAGCACTTGGGGATTAACAGAACACTCGAGAAGTGTCGAGAAGCAATCCGCTACGCGTCGTGCTTCTCCTAACACTTCTCTTGTGCTCTGCCAACCCCCGCGTGCATTATGACTGCACACAGCACGCGCGAGCGTTTCTATTGCTTCATTATTGCACGATAAAGGGTTAGGAATAATCCCTTCGCAATATGCCATTCTTTAAAACCACTATACCAGAGAATGCTTTTGGTGCTTCTTTCTTATTTGAATTTGTATTTCTTCRTGAGAATAGAAAGACCATGRCCTTTCCCTTCGCTTTAGTGACCAAAAAATAATTGTCTCCAAGTTGAAGTTTGGACTTGATCATGTTCATACATTTGTCCACCCTTCACTCGGAGCAATCTTTTAGACTCGGTACATGATGCTATGTATCCAAACCGAGGAACTGAATAGCACGTTTGCCTTCCACTGTATCTCAGTTGGGAAGGACTTATAGCCCCCTTGCAGCGCATCGGAATGCAACTAATTTTGGAGGACATAACAAAAGTTTCCAGTTCTCAGGAAATTGAAATTATTTTGGTTTGTCCTCCAAATTGAGCTTTTTTGACGTCACATGCAAGGGGTCTATAGACCATTTTCGAATTACACATGGGGGGGGGGGGGGGGGGACATAACAAAAGTTTCCAGTTCTCATGGGATTGGAATTATTTTGTTTTGTCCTCCAAATTGAGCTGCTTTGACGTCACATGCAAGGGGTCTATAGACCATTAGTGCAATTATCAAGCATAATAATGGCAATAAATAATGAAAACTTTATTGAGNTAAAAACACTTTGAAATTCCACTGACATTGACTGGAAACCTGAATATTCAAAGTAATTCCATGCGAAATCGAGGCTAATACTGTACAACAGAGAACTCGAAACTGGAGTATTACCATCTGAATGATTCTTGTTGTTTTTGTTCTTTCTTTAAGGGTCAAAGCYAGGTTCTTTTGGTGTGGTTATAACAGGAATGTGGTCTCTTATTTGGTAAATATATTCATGTTTCCATTGATRAAATTCAAATTCTCCAGTCAAGTTCAAAAGATGCAGCTATGTTAAAATAAAATATGTGTAAGATAAGTATGATGACCCCAGTGTAAGAGGAATTCGCCATTTACCGTCTTTTCACGTTCAAACACAAAGCATAGGACTTTTCTGAGATAGCGAACATGGTRCAATGTGGTCTAGTTTGAGTTCAAACACCTTTTATTCACCACGACTCCTTGCGTATGACGTCAATCTGGGGGACAAAACAATAAAACAATTTACATGAGAAATGTTTTCAAAATCTCAAGAAAAGAATTCGAGAACTTAATTGTTTTAGCCCCCAGATATGGAATTAGACCCCTTGCATGTGACGTCAAAGCAGCTCAATTTAGAGGACAAAACCAGAGAATTTCAATCCTATGASAATTGGAAAAAAACGGCGTGCATGCTTTCGGCAAGGGGTTTATGAGCCGTTGTTTGTACCGAATCTAGGACACAATGCAACATATCCGAAATAAGAAAAGACCCATTCAGCTGAGACTTCTTTCAAGGTAGTTTCAAAAGAATATTCAATTCTTAACCTTGGAGTCTCAATGGACTACTTCCACGATGCGGCGGCCATCTTGAATCGTAAGGCATTATGGGTCGCCTAGKGGGCAAAACAAAACAAAGATGTTGAAAAGACGACCACACGATATTTGAGAAATTTCCTCAGTTTTGGAATTGTTTATTTATTTTAATTCATCTTTTGTCAAATTGTCTTGTCGTGAACCGTAAATGTCAATCTACGCYATTATTGTAACAAAGCTTTTTATATTTGCYCCTGGAAGACCMATAATGCCTTGTGATTCAAGATGGCTGCCGCATCGTCGAAGGAATCATTTGTATTTGACCAGTGAACTTAACCGATGTATGGAAAATGGTGAACGAGTTATTTCTTGATTAACCAGTAAGACTTATACTAAGGGTCTATAGATTTTCAGTGCTAAAATACCATTTTACTTTCAGTCTGACCGCAATAATGCCTTGAAAACTAAGCTTACGACGTCCAGACTGAGTACTGCAGATGTCACTATTTTTGCCCGAACACCACAGTATACTTTACGGTCAATGATGTCATCATATAACGTGGATTTCAATCGTATCCTAACCTTATTGTGATTATTATGAATTTCTAATATCTTTCCTCTTATCATTATTTATACATTTTATTTGTCTTTATATAAGAACTTTAATGTTATTTTAATAAATATTAGTAACATCTTAAGTCTCAGAAGGTTGTAGCAAATTTAAAGATACCATTTCTTTCTGGCATCCAGGGGTAATCGATCTTTGTCAGGGGCGGATCCAAGGGTGAGCAGTCTCAGTATATCGTTATCAACAGTCACCCCCTTTTCTCGAGTTCCTGGAAAAACCTTTGTAATAGTCACCCCCCCCCCCCTTCCAAAATTCCTGGATCCGCCCCTGCTTTGTAGTTCCTTTTCTAAAGCGACTCCTTCGAGATACTCAGCATCATTAAGGCATGGCTCTCAGATGAAAAACTGTTTGGCTATATCATAGCCAGTTTTCTACGAATCTTCCCCAAACTTGGCAAGTTAATGTCTTTTGTGAAAAGAAGGAACCTTAGAGCCTTGGTTACCATGGAAACTAAGTCACGTGACCACAAGGCCGCCATCTTGGATTTTTAAACAAATCGTTCGTAGTCGTATTGAAACTACTTCAAAAGTCCTGAAAATCCATATTCCTTTTTATATTTGCAATACCTATATGGATCTAATTGGATATCTTGGAAATTATATTAAGTTTAATTTTTAGAATATTTTCTGTATTTTCCAAAAAATTAAAAATATTCTAAAAATTAAACTTAATATAATTTCCAAGATATCCAATTAGATCCATATAGGTATTGCAAATATAAAAAAGAATATGGATTTTCAGGACTTTTGAAGTAGTTTCAATACGACTACAAACGATTTGTTTAAAAAATCCAAGATGGCGGYCTTGTGGTCACGTGACCTGGTTTCCATGGTAACAGATATGCGGTAATTGCTTGCCTTGAAGAATTACTACTACGAGCCAAATTGGGGAAAGATTCATAGTAAACTGTCAAAGATATGAATAAATAACTGATTTTCCATCACTTCCTCAAAAGAGCCATGCCTTAATGGTGCTGAGTACTGCTTCCAGTGTTAGTTCTCTCGTAGTTAGATTCAAGAACCTAGCACTGGATGCCAACGAATGAATGGTACTGCTGATAGATATAAAAAAGAAAAGTCCTAAGATCATTATATATASTAAATAATTCAAATAATTTCAGTCTTGCACTTTCTTTACGTTTAACTTCTAATTTCGTCCTTCCAAAAGCCTTTAGCTTTTATCTGTTACCAAGCAGACTTTGCGTTTATCAGATATATATATGAGCATGCACATGCGTTACTATTAGGCTCTAATACAATTCCAAAAAGAACTTTATTCTCTAGGGAATGATACGTGGTTTGAAATGGATAAACAGTGTACCAAGACAAATTGAGTTTATTCAGGTCCGCTTGAAATAAAAAGGAAAAAAATTGTGGTTCTCCCCTACTCCTCCGCTCAGCCAATTTCTCTCCAGTCATACCCCCCCCCCCTCCATAAATAGCGAACGGCCCATTAAAAGCTTGATCCAGCACGTTCGACCTCATTAGCTCGGGCGTAATGCTTTGCCATTTCAAACCACGTGTTGTGCGACTTCTGCAAAAGTAGAAGCTCTCCCAACTTTCTGGAACAAAGATAATTTGTTGTTCGCGTGGTGATAATACGAGTCAAATTCACTCTGCAGCTTGCAGCGCA